TAGATTCCAGGTAACGCCTGACGTCAAACAAGTGGAAGTCGTACTCAGTAGACGGGCAGGCTTTCCACAGCCCCCCAGATGATATAAATCCCCAGGGGGACCTGGAAGCTAGCTGCAGCAGCTGCGGGGGAAGCAGCAGCAGCAGCAGCAGCAACATAAGCTACAGGACCCACGAGGCAATCAGTAAGCCAGAACAGGTTTAAACTGCTCAGCAATTGGCGATGCTGCTGCTGCGGCTGCTGCGACGCAGCAGCAGCTGCTGTTGCTGCTGTCTCACAGCTACTGCTGCTGCTGCTGTTGCTATTGCCTTCACAAAGCTGCTGCCGCAGCTGCTGCTGTCACTGAGCTGCTGCTGCTTCGACTGCTGCTGCTGCTGCTGAAACGATGGGCAGGAAGGGTGTCAGTGCCGCAGCAGCAGCTGCAGCCCGACTTGCGTTGTGTTGCTGCTGCAGCGCGTCTCTTGCCTGCGCAGCAGCAGCGGCAGCAGCAGCAGCGGCAGCAAACGCAGCAGCCCCAAAGCAGCTCCCAGCTGCAGCAGCGAGGGCTGCAAGCGCTAACTCAAAAGATGTCTGCTGCGCGAGAAGCTCACAGGCTGCAGCAGCAGCAGCAGCAACAGCAGCAGCAGCAGCAGCAGCAGCAGCAGCAGCAGCAGCAGCAGCAGCAACTGCTGCTGCTGCAGCTACAGGGCCGCCCATTGCTTTCCTCGACTGACCACAAGGAAACTTCAAACTTATCCAGAAGGCCCTCCGCAGGCGAAGCTGCAGATGAGGTGATGGCCCCAAGCAGCAACTCCATTGCTGCTGCTGCTGCTGCTGTTGCTGCTGTGCGCGTGCGGTCTTCCAAGCAGGAGCAGCAGCAGCAGCAGCTGCAGCAGCAGCAGCAGCAGCAGCAAAGGAGGAGTCATAGCATTCAGAGACAGCCACAGCAGCGGCAGCACGAAGCACAGCAGCAGCAGCAGCAGCAGCAGCAGATCAGAGGCAAACAAACGGCATCCCAGCGGCGCATTCACAGCAGCTGCAGCTCAAAGACACAGCCAGACGAACAAGAAATGCAGCAGCAGCAGCAGCAGCAGCGCGAATGGCGCTGCTGCAGCTGCACAGACTTAGAAGCGCAGGGCTGCGTCTGTGCAGGTTCTGCTGCAGTGTCTGCTGCTTCGGAGCAGCAGGAGCGGCAGAAGAGGCGGCGGCAGAAGCAGCAGCAGCAGCAGCAAGCGCTGCAGCAGCTGCAGCAGCAGCAGCAGCAGGAAGTTGAGGAGCTGCTGCAGTCCTGGGGCACCGGAGAAGCAGAAAAAAAAGCAAGACTTGCTGTTGCTAGACTTGTGGTGCAGCAGCAGCAGCCGCAGCTGTACTGCAGCAGAACTTTGGGAGAAGATGCAGCAGCAACATTTGGCTGCCTGGGGCGTTGCTGCTGCTGCTGCTTCTGGCGCCGCTGCAGCAGCAAGCAGCAGCAGCGCTGCTGTTGTGCCTTCGTTGTTGCTTTTGTGTCTTTTGCTGTTTTGCTGCTGATAGCTCTGGTGGTTGCTGCTGCTCTTCTGTAGCTGCAGGCAGCAGCAGCAGCAGCAGTCTTTTGCAGCTTTTTTGTCTTTTATTTCATTTTATTTCTCTTTATTTCTTTTTATTGATTTTCATTTATTTTTATTTATTTTTATTTATTTTTCCTTTTTTGTCTTTTTGCTTCTTTCCCTCCCTCAACTCAAGTTGCTTTTCATTTCTGTCACCTTCGTCGCCTCTGCTGCAGCAGCAGCAACTGCTGCTGCTGCTGCAGTTGCTGTTGTTGCTGTTTTTGCAGCTGCTGTTGTTGCTGTTGCTGTTGCTGCTGCTGCTGCTGTTGCTGTTGCTGCTGCAGCAGCAAGATCAGCAGCAGCAGTAGCAGCAGCTGCTGCTGCTGTTGCTGTTGCTGCTGCCCCTGCTGCAGATTTTCTTTGGTTTACTGCAGCCTCTCTCTCTAAGCTTGTGTCTCTTTTCATTTTTGCTGCTGCTTTCCTTTTTTCTTTGTTTTTTTTATTTTTTATTTTTTATTTTCATTTTGCTTCTCAGCGGCCCTTTTTGTATCTTCAATTGCCTTCTTGCTGCTGCTTCTTCACTGTGTCCTTTTTGCTGCTGCTGCTGCTGCTGCTGCTGCTGCTCAGTTGTCTCCTTTTGTCTTGCTGCTGCTGGTCAGTCTGTTTCCTTCTGCCTTGCTGCTGCTGCTGCTGCTGCATTCTTGCTGCCGCTGCCAATTACTTCGTCGCCTTCTTGCTGCTGCTGCTTGAAGTTGCTGCTGCGGCTTGAAGTTTCTGCTGCTTCTTGAAGTTGCTGCTGCAGGTTGAAGTTGCTGCTGCTGCTCAAAGTGTCTCCTTCCTTCTGCAACTGCTTGTTTGGTCTCCTTGTTGCTGCTGCTGCTGTTGCTGTTGCTGCTGCTGCTGTTGCTCTGCCGTACGGTTGCAGTAGCAGCAGCAGCAAGAGGAAAACATAAAAGAGACGAAAACATGTGAATAGAGAGAAAAGCAGCAACAGCAGCGGCAGCAGCACAAGCAGCAGCAGCAGCAGCAACAGCAGCAGCAGCAGCTGCAGCAGCGGCGAAGAGCCCCGTCTCTTCCTCCTATCTTCTTTAATATTTTTTTTTGTTTTATTTTTTATTTCTTTCATAATTTTCTAATTCATATTTTGTTCTATTTTTTATTCCTTTTTTGTTTTATTCCTATTTTTTTGTTTTATTTTTAATTTCATTTTTATGTTTTGGATTTCTTTTTTCTTTTTGTTTCCATTTTAATTTCTTTTTTTTCGTTTTAATTTCCACCTTTACCTCTTTTGTCTTTTCAATTTCAATTTTGTATTTCTTTTGATTTAATTTTATTTCTTTTAGTTTATTTTTATATTTCTCTTTATTTCGTTTCATTTCTTTGTATTTCTTTTAATTTCTTTTTATTTCTTTTTTATTTATCTTTTGTTTCAACTTTTATTCTTTTATTCTTTTTATTTTTCCTTTTTTGTGTCCACCTTTAATATCCTTTTACTTTCATTTTCGTCTCTTTATTTCTTTTTGTTTCCATTTTATTTTCTCGTTTATTTCTTTTATTTCTTTTTAATTTCTATTTTGATTTGTTTTTGTCTTTTTTATTTTTATTTTCATTTTCATTTTTAATTTCTTCTTTATTTCCATTTTCTTTTCTTTTCCGCTCCCCTTTTCCCGTGTCTCTCTGTTGCAGCAGCAGGAGCTGCTGCAGCGGCAGCTGCTGCAGCGGCAGCAGCTGCAATTGGCAGCAGCAGCAGCAAAAGGATACTTCCTCATCGCAGCAGCAGCAGCAGCAAGGAGACAGCAAATCAAAGAGACTAACCAACAAATGCGCCGCAGTAGGACGAAACCCTAAACCCTAAACCCTAATGTAGCACTAAAGCCTAAACCCTCTTTGGGCTTAGGAGGCCAACTTGAGGCGGGCCGAGTGCCTAGGCAGCAGCAGCAACAGCAGCAACAGCAGCAGCAGCAGCAGCAGCAGCTGTGCTCCACAGCCGCCTCTCTCTGGGCGGGAGGCCCCCCTTGGGGCCCTCTGGGGGCCCCCCGTGGGGCCTTTGGAGCAGCTGGGGGCCCCCAGGGGGGCCTCTCTGGAGGTGATCTGGGGGCCCCCTGGGATCGATCCGTTGGGGCCCCCCTCCACAGTTCCATGCACAGCTTCGGGGGGCCCCCGGGGGGCCTCCGGGGGCCCCAGGGGGCTCCAGGGGGCCCCCGGGGCCCTTTGTGGACATTATCTGGGGGCCCCTGGGGGCCCCCAGATCTTGTGTGCCTTCAGGGCTCTCTAGAAGCTTCAAGGGCCCCTCGGGGCTTCTAGGGGCCCCAAGGGAGCCCCAGATGGGGGCCCTAGGGGGCCCCTAGATTGGGGCCCCCCTGGGGGGCCCCCCATTGAAACCCCCTTGGGGGCCCCCCCCGTTTTAGAGGCCTGCTGCTGCAGGGGCCCCCGCCTGCTGCCTCTATGGGGAGCCTCGCTGCTGGGGGTGGGCGGGGCCCCTCGCAGCAGAAGATCTGGTGGGGTGATTTAGGGTTTTTATAGCTGCTTTTGAGTTATTTTGAAATGTAAAGCCTTTTAATGAAGTTTAAGGAGATTATAAGTGGTAAAATGAGCCAAAGAGCCGCGAAAATGCCCTCTTTGGGGCTGCAGCAGCGGCTTTTGTGGGCACAGCCAGCAGCAGAGAAGGACCCAGAGGAAGCAGATCTGGGCCGGGAGGCTGGGCTCTGGGGTGTACAGACAGCTCCCCTGAAGCTCCGGAGGAAGATGGGGGTTTCAATTCACTTTTATTTTAGTGTTTAGGGTTTAGGGTTTGGTGTAAGGGTTTAGGGTTTCGTGTGAGGGTTTAGGGCTTTGGCCGGGAAGTCGACGGCGCCCGCCAGCCCGCAGCCAGAGGTCTTCTGGGGAGCTGCAGCGCCTCGAGTTTGATTCAAATGATTAATTTTGAGAAATAATTGTTTGTAATCCTTAAACTCGATTTTGCTGCTGCGCTGCAGCAGCAGCAGGAAGAACAGCCGCAGCAGCAGCAGCAGCAACAACCTCCCACCCTCTGCGGCTGCTCGGCTGCGGCAAGGCGTCAGTGGCTGCTTTTCTTTGCTGCTGCTCCTTCACTGTTTTAATTTATTTAAATAATTCAAATTTATTTAAATTCTTTAAAACTTTTCTTTTTATTCCAACAAATCCAACAAATGTGGGACGAAATCCTCTCCGTCGTTCTTGGGATGGGCGCCGCGGTTGTGTGCCTCCTCGCCACAGGTAAGGAACCCCCTGCTGCTGCTGCTGCTGCTGCTGTTGCTGCTGCTGCTGCTGTTGCTGCTGCTGCTCCCCGCTCAGTCCCTGCTGGCCGGCACGGGCCGTAGGCGCTCCCTCCGAGTTGGGGGTTGCGCCCAGTGAGCCAGCAGCGCCAGCAACAGCAGCAGCAGCAGCAGCAGCAGCTGCTGCTGCTGCTGCTGCTGCAGAGGCACTGACACGAAGCAGCCACACATTCCCCTCCCTCCGTTTAAACAGCCTTTCAGGGAGCAGCTCTTCTCCTGTAGCTGCCGTAGCTCATGCGCCTCCAGCTCTGCGACTTCCGCTGCTGCTGCTGCTGCTGCTGCTGCTGCTGCGTGTCTTCTTGTGCCCGCAGCCATGTTCTTGTTCCCCCAAAGACAATGACTCTCGCAGCAAAGCCCTTTGGGGCTTTGCTGCTGTGGGCCGCGGCGAGCTCGCCCACACTCTCGTAGATGTCTGCTTGAATATCGCAGCAGCAGCAGCAGCAGCAGTTGCTGCTGCTGCTGCAGCGGTGGCGGCTGCAGCGCCGCTGCAGCAGCTGAAAGGGCAGCTCGCGGGGCCGACGGCGCCGCTTTTCCTGCCCACTGCAGCACAACTGCAGCACTAGCTGCTGCTGCTGCAAAAGCAGCAACAGCTCTTCAGCAGCAACTAGCTGTCTTAGCCGCATCTGTGGCCTCGGCAGCAGCAACAGCAGCAGCAGCAGCAGCAACACCAGCAGCAGCAGCAGCAGCAGGAGCAACGCCAACAGCAGCAACAGCAGCAGCAGCGAAGGAGAATTCGCTGCATGCAAGAGGAGCTTTAGAGGGGGGTTGGGCGCTGGGGTGTACGTACACCCCGAGGCCTTGGGCCGCAGCCCCGAAAGCGCATTAATGGCATTAATGGCATTTTTATTTTTCTGCAAAAAGAAAGAAATAATGAAACTTGAAGGGCCTGCGAGCAGCAGCAACTCTGTTGCATTTTAAAGGTCATTCTCGTTTAGTTTTTCTCTTTCCGCAGTCTTCTTTCGCGTTGAAACGCTGCTGCTGCTGCGGCTGCTGCAGCGGCGCTGCTTGCTGCTGCTGCGCTGCAGGAGCTCTGCTGCAGCTTCCTTTTCCTTTGCTGCTTTCCTTCTCTTTTCGTTCTTTTCTTTTCGCGTTTGGGGACTTAGCCATTTTTCAGATCGCAAAAGAATTTTTAAATTTAATTTAAAAGTCCTTTTCTGCTGTTTGGTCCACTGGACAGATTTGCTGCAGACAGCGACGCTGCAGCAGCAGCTGCAGCAGAAGTGCAGCAGCGCCGGCACGGCAAAAGGGCTGCAGCAGCAGGTCCACTCCGAGCGGTCTACTGGTCACGCCGGTGGACCAGCTGCTGCCAGCGGGGCCTTCCCCCCCAAGTTGCTGCTGCTGCTGCTGCTTGGTGTGCCTCAAAGTCCCTAAAAGGTCTCAGAAAAAATTAAAGTCGGAAGCTAAATGAAGCAGCTTTCTTTAGGGGTCGAATGGCTGCAGCAAATTCAAGTTTCCCTCTTGCCTAGCAAGTTGAATGCTGCAGCCTACGAAAGGGGGTCTCGGGTCTTCTCAGAAGCTGCTGCAGGTTTAAAAAATGAAATTAATTCAATTATTCAATATAAATTGGATTTAAGAACAAAAATACTATTCAGGAGTTCTGCAGGCTGAGAGAAAAGCAGCAGCGGGGTTTCCCGCAGCGGTTGCTCCCGGTGCGGGTTTGCTTAAATGGGCGTGGGTGGCGCTAGAGATCAACAGAGATCAGTTGTTTCTTTCTTTTTGAAAAGAAATAAATAATTAAAAAGTAATTATTAAACATTTAAAATTGAAAAGCGAAGAAGGGGGCCGGAGAGGTGGGCGGCCTCAGCAGCTTTCGTTCTGCTGCTCATGGTCACGTCGGCTGCGAGCTGCTGCTGCGGTTTCGCATGTTTTCCGGACCTTCTTGGACTTATTTAGGTGCATTTTGAGTGTTTTTTGTTTCAAAAAGTATTTAAAAAGTTCATCTAAGTGAAAATAAACTGTTTCCGCGGTGATCTGCTGCTGCCACGAATTGCGGCGGCACTCACCGCCGAATCGAAGCCTGCAGGTGGAATCTGAGGGTAGCTCTCTCTGTGCCTTTCATTTTCGACTTATTTGCCATTAATTTACTTCCTTTCATTTAGTTGTTTCATTTTTAAGGTCTAAAAGTTCTCCAGGGGCCCCCAGGGGCCCCCCGACTCGCGGCTGCTAGCTAGCCAGCCCCTCGAGCCTCACTGGCGCATATGTAGCAGCGCCCACTCTTCTTCCTCGCTGCAGCTTTTGTCTTAGCCAAATAAAAGCACTTGCAGCCCCTTCTTCAGCGCCACTGCAGCAGCAGCAGCAGCAGCAGCAGCAGCAGCGTGCGTATATGACAGAAAATGGCGGCTTCTCCCGCGTCTTTGCCCAGCAAAAGCCCTGCTGCAGGGGGCCCCCTGGTGGAGTTTTGGGACAGCTGGAGTGACAGCAACTCCGACGCTGCGGAGGGACAGGGGGGCCCCCTTTCTGCAGCTTGCTGCAGCAGCAGCAGGGCCAAACAGGACGTCTTCTTGCTGGTGCCCAGGCAGCAGCAGCAGCAGCAGCAGCAGCAGCAGCAGCAGCGGCAGCTTTCTCCCTCTGCATCGCACTATGAGCCCGGCCTGGGGGCCCCCTCCGCTTCCTCCGACGCAGCCTCTGAGGGGACCCCCAGGGGGCCCCTTGGGGGCCCCCTAGGGGGTTCACCTTCTCTCTTTTCGCGGGCCTCTTCGCAGGGGGGCCCCCGGGGGCCCCCGGGGGCCCCGCTCGCTGCGGGGGGCCCTTCAAGGTCTTCATCTGTGCAGGTTTCTCCAGTACCCTCTGGAGAAGAAAAAGTCAGTGGGGGCCCCCTAGACAGCCAACGGGCAGCAGCAGCAGCAGCAAAGGCTGCAGCAGCAAAAGCTGCAGCAGCAAGAAGCTCCCCGGCCTCTGGGGGCAGCTCTTCGCGTCTTGCTGCTGCTGCTGCAGGTAAGCAGCAGAAGAAGGGCTCCCGGGAGAAGCAGAAGCAGAAAACTGAAAAGAAGAAAGACTCTCCCAAAAAGAAAAACAAAAACGCAGCAGCAGCAGCAGCAGCAGCA